ATAATCAGACTGAGAATTCATCTTTTAATTCATGTGATGCAAATGTATGAATGACTATTTTATACGAAAGTGTGAACTTAAATTAGAAGATCGTTAGTCATCAATACTTGCATGTATGATATGATACTAGTCGTCAATAAGTGATTAATAACAAACACCTAGATAGTTCAACTAACATAAGGAAAAAGTTAGAATGAAAATTGTTTTTATTACATGTTCTATGAGTATCAACAATTTGAAGAGTCGATATAAACTGATTTTAATCTGGACTTATGTTGTGATGTGATTGAATGGTAGATATACTTTATTCGATTTGAAACCAATATTAATATATTCCTAAAACAAACGGTTTGATGCTGTTCGAATTCTAAATCTGTTGCCATTATTGAAAAGCACTATCAATTAAAAAGTACAAACTAGAATGAAAAAATATTAACTATAAATTTTGAATTAAATTAATCATAAGTTTATGTAATTGATCGAAAAAACTAACTTTAGTTTAAAAATTGGAATTATTATTTCCTTGTTCTTTGATGTAAATATCGAGAAGAATGATGAAATCTATGTTTCACTTAGATCAATGAACAATATCTGTAACCATGTCAATGTAAATGAAATGATTGCAAATTGTGAACTACTATAATTGTATCTACTAGAATTTGGTTCAATACGATATGATTTATAACATCGAAAGATCAATACATTCAATTAAAACTCTGCGTGGATTTTCAATTTCTAATATTAGAAAACTCACCAAAATACGTTTTCTAACATTCTGGAACCAAATTATGTTTGAGAATTGATCTCGGAAATTTTTACAAGATTTTTCAAGATAAAAAAATAGGTTTTCGAGTGCTCGGGAATCCTTAAAAGGTTCTAGATAGTAACAAAATCGGAAAACTATTTGGTTTTCGAATTGATCTCGGAGACCTATTTTGGTGGATTTTCTAAGAAACGATAATCTTTTACAATGTGAAGTTGGTTTCTTGGTAGTTCAGGGTATTAATTACACGTTCGAACAGGTATTTTGTTCCAAAAATAATGTTTTCATCGTTAAATAGAAGGATTTGAGAATTTAAAAGTTTCTAGAGTGCTATTCAAAACAGTAACAAGCGTTGTTTATGTATTATTTTTTTTTTGTAGTTTATCAACTGTCCAATTGAAACATTTCTACGACCATACTAAAATATATATGTTATATCCAGATATAAACACTAAAGAATGAAAATCTAAAATGTTATTCTGCAACAAAATTTCTTCTTTTAAAAATCAATCTTTACTCAGTGCCAGTAAGCGATTAACGACAACTCATGATTACTAACGCTCATTATTTTTAGGAATACTACGATTAAAATCTTTTTGTCAAATAACAGCACTTCTTAAATCAATCGACGGAATAAATTGTAAATTCGTGTTGTTTGATGAAAATAGGTTTTTTTATTTCTTTAATTTATCTTGTTTATCACAATCTATAATAAGTTTTGGACATTTTTTATCAACAAGTTCATCTGAAAGTTGTTTATTACAATCATTAAGATAAGCCAATGAATGGAGTCGATGAACATGCCAAACCCATTCAAGTTGCCATGGAAGGTTTTCTTGTTGATCATATGTTCTCATTTTTCCTTTACTCATTCGTTTACAATAATCTTTAATATAATAATTTAATTCCGGTCGTTCTTGTGTCATTTCTGGATGATTAATAACTTTCCGAAGTAAAAGAATATGTTCAATTAATGAATGATAGATACATCATAGAAAATTGTTTTCCATTTTTTGCTTTAATAATTACAGGTTAATTTCTGATAGATGATGGTAATGATGATGTTGATGAACCCATGCTTCTGTCCAATGTATTAATAATGAACTTGTTACAATGACTTTCATATCGACTTTATATACGTATTCATCATTTCATTCCCCGAAATGAAGAAAAAGACAAAGTCTTTTTATTGTCCTACACATTTTAATGAATCATTATTTACCTGACAGAGATAATAAAATGCATCATAAAGACAAGGTCATCAATCTATTTTCTGAATATCTGCATTTCTTGACTTGAGGATTAATTTCGAGCGTCATCTCTCGATAAAAGAATTTAGTATCGTTGACACGAGTGTCCTCCAATTATAATAATTGGTTGTCTGTGTAATACCGTATATGATCTATAGAAATTGTTAATAAGAGATCATTTAAGATAAGAAGATAAACTGAACAATGTCAAGTGACGAATATTTCGAAGAAGATGAAGAACAAGGTACATTCGATGAAATAACAGAAAATAATCCAAATAAAGAAAAAAAGGACAAATGTACTTGTACAAAAGAATGTTCAACATGTTCCTGTTCATGTTTTAAATTTGGTAGTGGATGTAATTCATCATGTGAATGTAGTTCATCATGTGAAAATATGTTTAATTATTTGGAATATTTCTTTGGTGAAAATACAAAATATTCTGCTCATCCTTGTTTTGCCAAATGGCTCGTCAAAAAAGCTAAAAATACTGATGATTTAAAAACTATTAATCGTGGTGCATTGTGCCAACTTATTATCAAATGTTCGAAGTAAATATTTGATTTATGTATTATAATTATTTCGAATTGATTCTTTTAGTTTTGATGAAGTTTGTGAGATCGAAGAAGACTTCGAAGAATGGATGAAACAATTGAAAATAATTGATAATAATCAAAAATTAGCTCATGCTCAAACATTATTTCGAATGCTTTTAACGGATGATGATACAACAGGACGTTATTATTCATTTTGTCAAGATTATTTAGTCCAAGAAAATTTAAAATGGCATTGTATTAAATGTCAAGACTGTATGGATTGGAGAGAATGGCATTGTGGTGTATGTGATATATGTTGGTATTCTATTAATTTACTTTTAATAATAAGTTAATTATATAATCTTTTATTTAGGTACTTATGGTGTTAGCTTACCATGTGAAGGATGTAGAGGAAAAAGTGAAATATCTGCTACTATTTGAAAGATTAATTAGATTTTATTGTTTCTTGTAATCACGTTTTTTTTATTTTACATTAAAAGATGAACAAACTAGTAGAAATCTTAAATTAACAATTAAGATTATTCTGTACTAAAGCTGATGTTGTATTTGAAATAACATTTGTTAAATTATTTAAATTACAAAGATTATTTGATATAATAAATGAAGTACCATTGCTATTCATTCCTTGTTCATTTTCAAATAATCAACAAGAAATTATTTGAAATTGTCTTACAGATTTATTTGTTACCCATATTCCTCGACCATGATTATTTCGTACTTCAACACCATTTAGAATAAATGATCCACTATTAATTGTTATACCATTACACCGATTTGAAACATTTCGACATTCATAAACTCCACCATTAAATATCGTTTCTCCACTAATTGATAAAACTGCTGTGGAATTATAATCAACAAAGACTTGATGAATTGTTGATGATACAGCCCATATACCAATGATTGATACATAACTACTATCACGAACAACTAAACCTTGACCATCGGAATCAAATGTTGCTTGACTTATAAAGATTTCTCGATTTGACCTAGCCCCATTACTATTATCAATTAATATTCCGATTCCTAATCCAATAACATCTGTATTTTCTACATGAACTCCACCATTATTTCCTCGATAATGAATACCAATATTTTCATCAAAACGAACGTTAGCTCCAATAATTCTTCCACCTAAAACTCGAACTTCTGAACCATAACCAATTTCTGTTCCTGTTCCTCGTATTTCCCACATAACAACATCACGAATGATATTTATATCAGCAACACCAGTCATTGCTATTCCTCCAGAGATCGGAGAAGTTTTTGAATCATTGGAATTAAGTTAACCCCCACAGAAGAGAAGCCCACTGGGTTTCTATTGTGTTTTGAAAATTATAAGTGTTGGCATGGGCTTCTATTGCGATCAAGTTTTTTCATGTTGCAGCTATAATCAAATCAGCTTACAAGCATATAAAGTCTTAAAAAATTAGAAATTTGAATTTTCAAGCTGTTTGACAACTTTCAGAGTAGTTATCATAGTTGTTGTATACTCAAAAAGCGAGTACACTCTAGAATCGGTCAGTGTGTCCGTCCGTCCGTTTACACGATAACTCTTGAAAAATGTCATCCAATCGTCTTGAAATTTTGCACACAGAATTGTCTCATCAATATCTCGGTCGAGTTCGAAGATGAGAATGATTCGTCAAGAAATTGCTGAGTTATACCAACAAAATGTCATTATTTCCTGTGCTTTTCTATAGGAATATTGACCTATCCCGGTTATTGGGGGTCCTCAAGTCCTATAATTATTGGATATCCTTAGGTCCTCAAGTCCTATATTAGTAGGGTACCCTTGGGTCCTCAAGTCCTATATTATAGAGGTATCGCTAGGTCCTCAAGTCCTATATAATGGGGTACCTTTAGGTCCTCAAGTCCTATATTATAAGGGTAGCCTTAGGTTCTCTAGTCCTATATTATAGGGGAACCCTTAGGTCTTCTAGTCCTATATTATGGGAGTAGCCTTAGGTTCTCTAGTCCTATACTATAGGGGTACCCTTAGGTCCGCAAGTCCTATATTCCAGAGGTACTCTTAGGTCTCAAGTCCTATATAATGGGGATACTCTTGGGTCCTCAAGTCCTATATTATAGAGGTATCTTTACTACCACGGAAAAAATTAACGCAAATCATATTTTTGTGTACTCAAAAAGTGAGTATACTGTAGAATCGGTTAGTGTGTCCGACCGTTTACACGATAATTCCTGAAAGGCTAATCCAATTGTCACGAAATTTTGTCCACAGGATTATCTCATCAATATCTCGGTTGAATTCGAAGATGAGCAGAATTTACTGAGTTTCAGCAAGCAGTATTCTAATTTTCTATAGGCTTCTATACAAATATTGATCTATTAGGATTTTCGTAAACCAAAGTTTTTGTCATAGTTAGAATGAAACCTCAACTATTATATACCATTTGATAGAGAATTTCATGGGCTACAAAACGATACTAAATTGTAGGGGTAAATATGCTGCGTTTAAAAATTCCTCCGTATCACACTTTTGAGAAACCATGAAAAACCAATGTAATTTGACGCTGTGTCTGAGTGATATGTATTTATGTACCATAGAACCTGCATAATTTTTTCAGAGTTGACAGAATTTGTCTGGAGCTACAAAATGAGGGCAAATCAAAGGGATAAATATGCTGCGTTTCAGATTTCCTCAATGTCATTCTTCCCAAAACTATAACAAACTCATGTATACTGACATTGCCGGTCGATTCTTTTAGACAGTTTGATCAAGATCAATCTGTCAGCAATTATGTTTAATTTTTTTATCAGTCTAATAAAAATCTTTTAACATTCAACCATATATATATATATATATGTATATACGTATATACAAGTAACGCTCGTCGGTCCGACTCGCTTAACCCTCGACTGAATGGGTTAAGCCTATTTATTATATACCATTATACTTTGTTGAGACAATTGGTAGTAATGTCAAATGTATGTGTCCATATCTGTGACAGTGCTGTTATGAGAATTTTTGCTAGTATAATGAGTTTACAATTATAGTGATTCAGAGAAATAAAATTGGCATTGTTATCCACTATATGACCAAAAGAAAGTGTTCTAAAAAATAGTATGGTAAAAATTCTCTCTTGTTCAGCGCGGAAGTTAAAAAAATACCATTAATCGTTCTTTGCTAGATAATACGTAAAAAGATTGATCGTTTAATGAAAAATAATAATGAAAGTTAAACCATGCATATTAAAATCTGAGCCAACGTATAAAGTCATTTCACGACACAAGTATCACTCTATCATGCGATGACAATAATGTGAAATATATTGTTTGTAACTGGTAGTAAGTGCTCATACTTATCCTCGACTATCTGTTATGTAGCTCAATCAAGATATATTAATAATACGATGCGAAAGAAAAAACTATCGCAGATATCAATCACATTTATATTTTTTATGAATACAGTGAAACCTCTATATATGGGCACCTCGCTTATATGGGCACTCGTCGGAACGACCGCTCGATTTTTGCTGTAAATGAACCTCTCTAAGAAGGGCACCTCCGACCTCTGCCCATGGGCACTGATTTTTAGCCCATTCTATACTTTTACACCTCTCTTACATGGGCAGATAGAATGAATATTTTCTTCAACATTGTTCTTTTTCTCGTCGTGCCTTTTTGTTCGAAGAAAGAGAAAGAAAAAAGTTAGTCCGATGTAAAAAAGAAAATTACTCGTCGATACATTTTTCGCCGCTCTGTCAATGAGAACAAGAGTATAAATTGTCATGTTATTTAACATTACTCTTCAATATCATTAATAAATGACGACGTGTCATTATCTCACGCTCGATAAGAAGATCGAATTGATCAACGACTATGCTGATGGCACTGGACTATCACAACGCAAATTATGTGATAAGTACAAGGTGTCAAAGGGTGCTGTATATAATATTTTGCAACGAAAAGACGAATACAAGCACGATTTCCAATCAAATGCAAACAAAGGTGTCAAACGCAAACTGCAGAATGAGTCAAGCCACAACATCGATGAAACTGTTTTTTCATGGTTCACAGCACAAAGGGCAAAAAATATTCCAATCTCAGGGCCCTTGATTCAAGAAAAGGCGCGCGAAGTTGCTGAAGAAATCGGGCTTTCACCTGGGTAAGTCTCTTGAGAGCAACACACAATTTATAATACGTGCCATATTATTGAATTGCTTCACTGACATGCTCTTTGAATATTATAGGTCTTTCAAAGCATCCAATGAATGGCTCGAGAAGTTCAAAAATCGCCATAGTTTAACATTTCGTGTTTTATCTGGTGAAAGCGCACAAGTCGATTCCATCACGGTAGAAGAATGGAAGAGAAGATTGCCTACCCTGCTCGAATCATATGTAGAGGCTGATATCGACAACGCCGACGAAACTAGTCTGTTTTTCAAGCTGTTACCACATCGATCGATGGTCTTCTCTTAGGACATATGCAAAGGCGGCAAACGTTCCAAAGTAAGGTATACTATTCTTTTGTGTGCGAACTGGTCGGGCACACACAAATTGAAACCATTAGTTATCGATAAGGGAAGAATCTTGACAATTCTCGCCTTGATTATTTTTATTTTCATGTAGGTAAGAGTCAACGGCCGCGTTGTTTTAAAAACGTCGATATTAACAAGTTGCCTGTAATATGGAAATCCAATCGTACTTCCTGGATGAACGCCACTATCTTTACAGATTGGATTCAAATGATTAACACTCAAGTGCAAAAGGAGAATAGGTGAGTATATAATGGAGAACACTTTGCTCTTCTATAATCTTGCCAATATAATTTGGAGAACAGAATTTCTTAATTGTACTTTTCTCCATTTCAGGAGAATTTTGCTTTTTCTTGACAATGCTCCAGTGCATCCAGTAGATCTAAAATTATCAAATGTTACTCTGCTTTTCCTTCCGCCGAATACGACGAGCAAAATACAACCACTCGATCAAGGAATTATTCGTTGTTTCAAAGCCCACTATCGAACTCGCCTTGTCAAACATATTATTAGCAGCTGCACAACGGCATTACAACCTGAACAAGTAGTTGTCACTGCACTGGATGCGATTCATTGGATAGAAGCAGCTTGGGCCAATGTAAGCGAGTCGACCATTCGCAATACATTTCGTACTGCTGGTTTTCAACGTCGTGAATCAATCAATACGGTCAATGAAGGTGTCGAAGAACTTAGGGAAGTAATAGTCGATTCAGTTTCTGTCAACACAGACGATGATACTCTAAAGAATCTCGATCTTTTACTTGTTCATGTTATTGGTATAGATGCACACATATCTGCCAATGAATTCGTGAAGCTCGATGATGAAATTCCAGTGTTTGACGAATGGGACAACAGTACAGATATTCTATGGACAATCAAAGATATTCAAAACGACCAGGACGACAAAGATGATGAAGTAATTCAAGAACAACCTCCATCACTTGTTGAAGCTCCTGAAATGATTCGAAAGCTCCATCTGCTCGCATCTACACGTCAACCACAACTCCATCAACTCGTCACTGAATTAGAATCGAAACTGGCTGATGCTTACATTGATTCAAAAACTAGCAAGCAAAGTTCTATTATTGATTTCTTTCCAAAAGCTTGATTGTAAATACGAAAATAGAAAATAAACTTAGACCAAATAAGATATCAAATAATTTAGAATGAAATATTGAATACACTCAAAGATATAAAGGTCGCTTAACAATACATAAGTATGGGTGCCCTTTATGGTGTAGCTTGCAGAAACATTACGGATCGATATCTATACACAAAACTCTATAACGCGGGCACCTCCGTAAGGTGGGCGATTTCAAATAGTCCCAAAGGTGCCCATCTATGGGAGGTTTCACTGTATCTTTTCCGTCAGGCTTGTGCATCATTGTAGTTGTGTTGTCTCACAAAATGATTCAATGAATATTATGACTTTATACTAGAGCCGTGAATATTTATTTTAAATGTTTCATAGCCAACGAATAATACAAGCATATTGAATTTATGAGGAAAACAAACGACAATGCAATTAGATGACAAGAATGGCTCAATAAACATATAATTCTAATCAAAAATTTACCATCATTTGATTTCTTTTTATTTCTATTACGCCTCGTCGATCCTCATATAGATATAAACAGAATCAAAATAATATTTTTATTTACTAAGAGGTGTACATTACAAGCGATATCTTCCTAAACAATGGTTATCATCCTCTCAAAAAGCATCCACACTCAAAAAAAAAATTCGGCCAGAAACAGTATTTGGTAAAAAAGGTCGATTTCTTTGCTACCTATATAAGCGATTTTTTCGGTCTATAAGATAGAGAATTAAATTCTCTACAAAGCCATGATATTGCTGAAGAGAGACGGATAAATCCAGATGAGGAAATACCGAATGGACAACCATGGATTTTCGGAAATGATATCAGCCTAAAACAGTATTTGCTAAAAATGGTCTATTTCTCTGCTACCTATATAAGCAATTTTTTCGGTCTATAAGATACAGAATTAAATTGTCTACAAACCCATGATATTGCTGGAGAGAGATGGATAAATCCAGGTGAGGAAATACCGAATGGAAGGTGTGGGTGTGAGTCTGGGTGTGGCTCTGGCTGTGGCTGTGGGGTGTGGGTGTCGGTGTTCATCTTCACATTACCCACACCTACACCCACACCCACACCCAGACCCAGACCCACACTCACACACCCACACCCACACCCACACCCACACCCACACCCACACCCACACCCACACAACCACACACTCCCACCCACACCCACACCCGCCCACACACACCCACACCCACACTCACACCCACACCCAAACCCACACCCACACCCACACTCACACCCCACACCCACACCCACACCCAAAATGCATCAAACACTTGTCTCTATCAGATTATGTAGAAAGGAGGAAACTCGGAGATCATCGATAGAGCACTGACATAGTGAATCGGCTGTGGCTTATATGGAATGGCTCATATATAACTAGCCATTCAGTCGAGGGTCAAACGAGTAGAAGCGACGAGCGTTACTTGTTTTTATTATTAAATGAATAACATGAAACGCGTCGGCATCAATAATCCGCATTTATTGTCTTAGGTTTTCGAAAAGCACAATTGTTTTAATTAGCAACTAAATTTTGATTAAAATCGATTGCTGAAAAGCGAGGGTTAAGATTAGGAAATTGATTTGTTTTTGAAGAAACTATAAAAGTCAGTTTGTGTTAAGCAGATTTACGAAAAAAATGAAAGAAAGAGAAGGGAAAGAATGTTATTGTAGATAACATTTTTTCAACGAAGAGGAGCGTGTGCAGAAGAAAAGAAATTGAGAATGGCATGATTGCGAACGAAATCGAGAAACGAATGAATTGATATAATATTTTATTTACATTTTATCAATGGGATGGATTATAATTAATGGGTTTTATGGCAATTATCAATAAGATAAGCAAGAAATCGATACTTATAAAATTGATTAATACCACGAAAGAGCTTAAATAAAAGGGTATTAACTCTTTTACTCCCGTTATAGTACGTTTGTAATAACATTCATGTGCAAAACTATATTGATAATTATACTTGTTTTAACAGTACCAGATGTTGGTTGTGCTACACCTGGGGTTGAAGGTGAGGGTGCTGTTGATATTGATCAGAACTTTGTTGAACAAATAAGAAATGAATTAGCACCATTGGATTACAGATTTGATGGTAGAAAAAAAGGTGTATTCACGCTGGTGGCAAACAAAAAAAGAGACTGGCGCTGTCTTTGGTTTTGTAAAGATGATGAATCAGTTCTACATGGTCCATGTTATGGAAATAGGAAAGAATTTGGTGTGAGTGACGGCCTAGGAGGTTGTATCATAAGATCTATTAATCAAATACAAAAATGGACAAAAGTTGAATTCTCTGCTGAAAATAAATGCAAACCTATAACAACTCATCTTTATACACAATATAAAAAAGAACAAAAAATCACATCTGATGATATCGCCGAAGACCTGGATCATTATCTGGCTGAACATTCACATTTATACAAATGCCAAGTTGTTAGATCTTATGAAACCGAACGCGAAGTAAAGGAATCGTACGCTGGCAGTTATTCCTCAGGCACATGGTATGCAATGTGGAAAACAACACTAAAATATCATATTTTCTGATTATTATTTTTATGTAGCGTATTTTTTCACATTTAATTTTGATTGTCGCACGAAGCACTAAATCATTCATTTTCTTGAGAGAATCATGCTCGTATCATTTGAAAAAACTAACTCACTGTAAAAAATAACAGTGTAATACAAACGTCTTGTCTTTTCTTCAATATTCCCTCGACTGAAAGGAGGGTCATATGAAAAAAAATAGTTTGTTTGTAGATATGTGGCTGTCAGAGTCAAAGGTAAAAGGTCAGAAAAACATGAAAAAAGCTAATAACAATAAACGATAATAAATAAGTTTGACCAAAGGTTCTCGATTATGAGGAATCGATTTGGTGAGTATGATATGAATTATTAAGAAAGATGAAAATAGTCTCTCACTTTATCTGCCCACGGATATAGTACATTTGAAATGATTATTAAATATCCACAGTGATATTGCTTCAATTGTTTTTTGATGTTTTCTATATAATTCATAACATATTGTCGACACAATTCAAAATCATTTCTTGT